TTGAATGTAACGCTACTTTGTCATTTAATTCAAAAACAGTAGTAAAGGTCGAGTTATGTCAGACATAAGTACAGCAGTGCTCTTAATATTGTTACGATAGCAAACAACTATATTTGAGCGCTAAAGCTATATTAGTATCTGCTTTTTATGTATTCTGATCGCTTAAAAATACATACATCTTTTATCAAAATGTATATTTATTTAGTTGGCAAATCTAATATTAATTAATATGACAACGTTAGGAGTACAAATAAATTCGTAATTCAATGAAATATACTTGGACAAGAAATAAAATAATTACTCAAAAATTATACGTCTCCACTTTGTACTTCATATACAGTAGTAAAGTCCGCGTTTGGTCATACATGACATCATTTCTCAGGTATACAGCCTACGTAGTTGTTCAGGTTAAAAAAAAAACTAAAGCCAGATCCATCTGTACAAACCATCCACTAGGAACGATATTCTCCATCGAGTTAATTAAAAACCTGAAAAAAACAAACACCAAACCCCGTCAAGCCACTTGCTCGCCTCGACACCCCAACCAAGCAGTAAAGCTCCTGAACTTTCCAAAACAGAGCTCCAACTCTCCTCCACGACGATGAAAAAAGCTCGAGTTATCAATAAGCTCCGGACGACTTCTCCCCCAATCCTAGCCTCTTACTCGATCTCTCCTTCCCGATAATACGCCTCAAGAGAGAAATCTCAAAGAATGAAAAGCTTTTCCCGTCCCTGGTCTCCAAGATTCAGATTTTCGCGGAGACAGCAAGAAAAGTCCTCAACGGGACGGCCGTGCGCGTGTAAGGGGGGAACTCTTTCCAAAGAATCCGAACGAAGAGAGGGAAGAACTACCCGGATTTTCTCCGGCTCACTCAAAACTGTCACGTTTTTTACCCTGCGACGTGGCGTTAAACCTCTTTGCCCATTGGCTTTTTTTTCATTTGAAAAAGTCCAGGGGGGGAGAAACCAAGTTCAAAACCCAACTCCCTCTCCTCTCTTTTTCGAGCAGTTCGCCGGGTTGTTACTAAAAAGGACTCGGGATATACAAGTTTTTTCATCCTTTTGAGATAAAAAGGCCGAGAAAGAGAGGCATCATGACTGCCGAGATTTCACAATGGTATACTTGGTGGTACTTCATCATGGACGCGATAGTATACATTTTCCATACGCGGAAGGCTTCGTCCGTCAAGGGATATAGCTTATAGAACTGGCAGGCTTTGCTTTAGGCAATTAAATGTCCATCGCAACAGCTAATGGTTATAAACGTTTTCAAGATATTGGCATGGTATTTGTTATTGTGGAATTATGGTTATTATTTGAAATAAGTTTTTATTTACAAGTCAGTAAAAAGTTGGTGTAAAAAAAAAGCTTATCCTCCAGGTCATTAAATTTTGAAGCAAATATTCGTTAATGCCAAATCACATTATGACTCATGAATGGAGATTACTTTCAAATGAAATGAAGACTAATTATCTTCTTTCCAAGCAAATACCTTCGTAATTGGCTACTGAAATAATTTTAGACTGATTGATCTTTGCAGTCGAGATAAGTAAGAATTTCCTTTATCCCCATTTAATTATCAAAAATATGCATGATCTAGTTACTTCCATTAGCAATTATAATAATAAATACAATCAACTATCTACTGATTAGTTATTTAAAAAATATAAAATGGCATCAAGTGAACTACAAAAGAAATGTTGTTCAAGAAATGAAAAAATTTTATACGCCAATACACACGAGTTCCAGCGTTGAAATATCGCGAAAACCCACACCTCAACTGGTGTGAGGCACGATGCATCGACAGCTCATAGCAAATTCGTTTTCTCATCGAGGCAGGAATAATTCGAAAAGCTCGGCTCGCTCTTCGGTAAAAGGGAGCAAAACAACAAAGCGGTATTTTCTCTTTTCCGTTTCGTTCTCGTTTCTCTTGTGCAACAGCGGCAGTTTCACGTGCACTTCCACTTATTCTTCGGCGAGGCGCTCCCTTCCCCTTTGCTCTTACCGTTTCGAAAAGCAACCATTTTCGGCTTCCCACTTTTTCGCTCGTTCTCTTTGCTTTTGGCCTATTTCCTGCTTTTTCTCCATATTTTTTTTTACAACTTTTTTTTTTTCTTTTCACAGAGGAAAACTGCTTTTTCAAACATGGAATATAATTACATACAAAGTTCAGCTGCTTGGAGTTCGTTGCCCTCAGTCCTCGACAAGTTGAGTTTTTTAAAAACGCGATAACCACTTGAAGGAATTTTCCATTTTAAATGGATGCAGTTGGAAAATCTGATTTTCCGAGCAAAGTGAAAAAAAAAAAATTAACTAGAGACCCTTTACTTTTGGCAAACTCACTGTAATAGACAATAACTTTAACCAACTCAAACAGTAAAAATCACTGTGCCCACGATAAAAGGTTATCTACCAAATGGTAAAAATCAATGTGTAAACAGGTTTGCAATAGTAAAACTTCCCAATGGCCAATCCGAATCCCTCGACTGCGCGCATCAGGTGTTGGAGGAAAAATAACACGCCCGATAAAACAAACGCGATTTAAAGAGAGCACGTCCAAGCCAACGCGAAACAAAAAAAAAGAAAAAAAGAAAGACTTTTCGTTCGAGTTGTCCTCGGTGCGCAGGAATGGAAGAGGCATCCAAACAGCTGCTCCAATTTCCCGCTAGCTCCGTCCCGAAGAGCAATAGTCCTCCTCCTAATCGAAATTCATCTCCAGAGAGCCAAAGTGCATTATTCACTGATGGCGTTAGCGAGATAAAAGAGAGCGCCGATGGTGCATCATCGGTTATACACTGCAGGTGTTTGGTAACGACAACAGCGAGCCGAGTGATTTTCCGGAAAATGCAATTATTCCGCAACGAGGGTCCATTGTGCGGAGGTATGTGCACGTTTGGAGTCTCGCGAACGAGGCCGAACTTCCCCGACGGTCGCCTCTAATTCCTCCCGCTTCTTCTTCTTTCCGAATCAGCGATGGAATTCTAATAACAGGCCGGACTCGAATTAATCACTTGACACTGTTTCGTATTCCCCCCTTTCGTTCTCCCTCTCTCACTCTGACTCAGACTCGAGTTAATGAACTTTGGAATTTTTCATTAAGATCCCACGTATATCCCTACCCTCGGTCGTTCGCGAGCTCGACGCCTGGACAATCCTTGATTTATAATCACGCAGATTCACGAATCGCTCGATTTTTCGAGTTGCCGTACCTCTGAGCGCAAATTACGATATTAACAATCGGATGTAATCAAGCCAACAGCTCGTGATAATTAATTCCCGGTCATCGCAGCAGTGCCGAGGTTTTCCCGGCGATGGCGCATGAATACTTATCACGAGGGTGGGCAATGCGAAAGGAAGAAAACGAAAGGTATGCATCATGCGGCGCTGCGCGGGCAGAGGATTTAACTAAATTTCCATCTCATTGACCTTAAAAAGGCCTCGACGCCGAAGAAAGTCAGGCGGACGGGCAAAGAGGGAGATAATGGGGTGAGGAGGGAGATAACTGGAGCGCCATTTGAATTTGGATGTCCATGCTACTCTGAATTTTTTTTTTTCCTCTCTGAAAATTTATAAGCAGTATAGCTCGCCATCCAAGATGCCCATCAAGCCAAGATGAGCCTCCTCGTTTGTCTTGTAAAATCGATGTAAAACACAGAGCCTCCCACAACTCACTCGAAGGTAGGGGTGCATTTTTCAATTCGTCAACGAATCGTCGCGCGAACGAGCTATCGCACTCCAGGGAGGGAACCCAACAACAACGACAGCCCAGTTTTAATTACAACATAAAAAGTGCAGATCCCCTCCCCGCCGCGCACCCATGAAAAAACAAACGCTTCGGGCACTCATCAACGATCGGCACGGGGGGGGGGAGTAAGCGCTCCCGAGCCGTGACAAATTAGTCTCTCTCGCTTCCGTGTTTTTCCGACTCTCCGGGGCCCTTGTACACCGTCATCATCGCGAAGGGAGCAAAACCGTACAGCTGAACATCTCGAACGGGGGAGCCAATTAAAGGCAGAACTACTCCCCCCCCCAACCCCTCGTTACTGTTGGCGGAAAAGAGTAAAATGGGGGAAGTGGATACGATGTCGCTTCACGTAATTGGCTGGGGACTCAATTACGATGTTTCCTAAGCGCAAGTGTGTGTACGTGGGTGTGTATTTTTATAAGAAAGCGCACGAGGAAGGAGGCGCCCGATGAAATTTCCGTGGTCAACTGCGTGCGAAAACACACCCATACACACCGGATGAGACGCGGGGATTAAGATTCGTTGTAAAGATATAAAGAGAAAGTAGGGGTCGACCCAGAGGTGCGAGAAGGGGGCGGTTCTCTTTCTCTCTAACCTGGAATCTCACTCGAGAGTATCGATTTCTCGCCAAGATAATCCTCGCACGATACACCACGGTAAGGGTGCACGTATATCGATCGAGCGATTCCTTCTCGAGGAGCTACCTGGGAGGTGTGATGAGGCCATTGTTTATGGGTGAAGGAAATGAGACGATGCATCGATTGGACGTGGGAGATGACAGGAAAGAGATTGGGAAAGGCATCGAGTAAGGATTTCTCAGTCAATCGAAGCTGGCGCGTTTAAAGATAAAACGCCGGTCAATTTGCCTCACCCTTCAGGTTTTTATTTTGTGAATAGTTTAAATTTTTCTCAATCTGCAGCTTGTCACAGGAACAAAAACAAAATATCCGACACGCACATGCCAGTACATTGAGAGAAAAAGAAGAAAAAAAATCAATCCACGATTCAGCATTAACCTTTATCGCGATCTAAAAAAAAACAAAAAAATAAAAAAAATAAAAACAGAACGTCCGGGGGAAAATTAATACCAGCCAGCTTACTCTGCACTTTGGCTCATTGCACACGATACACACACACGCACGAGCCCAAAGAACGAGCCATCGGCACGAAAATCTCGAGGCTCGCGAGCAAAGGCAGTCGGCTCTTAACACCCAGCTCTACATTTTTTTTTTTCTCCTTGGTTGTGTTTTTCCAGACCACGTTGGCCCCATGATCGCCTGAAGTCACGGCCCGATGGTCAGAATGAGGGTGGCCGCCAATCGCTCCTCGCCACCACCACCACGGGCATCGGGTCGCCTGCTGGTGTCGCTGCTACTGCTGTTGGTTCGCGCCAGCTCCAGCCTCGACATACGTGAGTACACATAATGAGCATGTCGCGATCTTGCTCCCCGATACGCACACGTGCATGTACATGTGTGTATAATATATGTTATTACCTGTACACACATACCTCGTGTTGTGGAAAAAAGAGAGTAACAACGCGGCGGGGCTTTTAGCCTTTTTCCACTTTTGCTCGGTCATCGCTTCGCCGATACGTTTATATACGAGCGGGCTCGCGCAACGAGGTGCTGAATAAATTGGGGCACGGCTAAAAGCACCTCTGTTCTATTGAATCATCAGATCGCTGGGACGGAGTTATAATTTTTGTTAACAAAGCCGAGAAAAAAAAGCCGTCGTCGTTGGAGTAATTAGATTTCACACGGTAACCTCTTTCGAAGATATCGATACGTGGTGCGTGGCAATTCGATTGCGAATTTCGTACAAGTGAACCCATCTGTTATGGCTTGATGATAAATTCTAGATCGGTAGAAGCAGTCCATATATAAAGAAGTATGCCCATTGGTATATTTGTGCTAATTCAATCGCGAAGCTAAAAATGAACTGCGAGAATATGATACTTTGGTTCTCCCCGCGTCCCTTTCACTGTACCCCAGTGTGTCTCCGACAGTTACCGGTTCCAGCAAGGTAATGGCATTAGAGGTCGGGCGCAACTTTTTGTGAATTTTTTATACGACATTAACCAGCCCCTTCCCTCTGCTGAGCTATTCATAAAACATGTTTCTGTGAAAAAGCTCGAGCCGGGAGGGGCTTATCGCTCTCTCTTTCTTTTGGGCTTTACAAAAAACAGGGTTACTTGTGAGATCTGTTATCAGGTACCCTTCCTTTCTTTGTGTATTTTAATTCTCACGCCAGCAAGGGGGCAAAGGCATTTTTTTTTTTTTTTTTTTCATTTTTCTTCGCCGGGCTGAATATGCGTACCATTGTCGCAAGGTTGAAGGACACACGCAAGTTCGTGCGATGGTATTGTTGTCATTAGCAATACATCATCATATTTTCCGCCACAAAGTCCATCAAAGATAAGAAGGGTAGATTAAAATTTCTCTTGTGATTGAATGACTTGTTTTATTAAAGAAGGTCGACTTGGTGTTAAGTGGCTCCGGTTGCGAGAAAATTATGATTTAGTACGTACATTTTATAGTTTGAAGCTCGTAGTCGGCATTTGCTTGATAATAACGGGAGATGAATAGAACATGCAAATCGATGATCGATAAACTATCGGTGCAAAATAAATAGAGCAAATTTATTTTTAAAAGTTTTTTCCCTTCCTATCCTTTGCAGAAGCTTTTTGCTGTAATGAAACGTTCCGTAAATTGATAGCTTCCAGAGTGACATGGTGCTACTGCTGCTGGTTTCAATAACCGATAAAGATAATTGGAGATTTTTTTTTTAATTTGCGCTCTCACAAAGTTCTTACTGGTGAATTTTGAAAACTTTTACCTCCATAAATTATAAGAAAATTAATTTTTTTTATGAATTCCATGACCTCTTTGACGGTTTTTCAACCCCATTAGAAACTCATTAGAAGTACTCTTTCCAACCCAAAAATTGACAAAATACATGTACCTCGATTGAGAGGCATATTTATATATATATATGTTGTATTAATACGAGGGTTTGTGATTTTTTTTTTTTTTTTTTTTTTAGTGGTATCTATCTAGTAGGTAGTTTATCTATAATTCAATTGTAATTAGCCAATGCTAACTTTTTTTTTTAATTCAATACGTATGCATTGAAAAAATGAAAATAACGAAAAATAATTGTGTCCATTAAAAAGCTACCTACAAATGTTTGTCAAAAACTAATGAAACTTGATTGATAATTGAATCTCTTCTGATGATGTGATATTTTTTTAAAAAACGGCTTTGATTTATTTAAAAATCGAGTTAAAAAAAAAAATTTTACAACCGATATTTACACATAGGACTGTACATTTTTATTTATTCAATGATATTTCACTGTGTGCAGTATAACTTCTCGGAGAAATTACAGGATGTTTCATGAGTTATCGTAATAAACCGTGATGTAATCAATTCGAATCGGCAACGGAGGCAAAAAACCAGTTCCTACGTGACCCAAAAACCAAAAAAAACCAATCAAACGGGTCCTTTTTTTCTCCCTAAAAGCTTTTTAATCACAGCTCCTCAAACAAAACGGAAAATGAAAGATGAAAAAAAAAAGTAACGCGATACACATATATCCCGATCCTTTTCTGATCGTATCATCTCCAGCGCTGATAAAAACTGAACGGAGCCCCGAACCGAATCCCCTCTTTTTTTTTCCTCTGCCACCAACATTCGCTCGGAAACAAAAGAAGCCAATAGACATACGGAGGAAAAAAAGTCAAGAGCAATCTTTCCGGAAACACGAGGAGGACAATAGAGAGCACAATAAATATATATATATATATATGAGAGCCAACGAGGCTGGATTAATTATCGACTAAACAAGCGAGCACACGAAAACAGAGAGAAATCGAAACTACCCTCGCCCTCCATCTCTCGTGCCCTACAAGTTGTCTCGTGCATTTTCGACAACTGTGTACACCCACACTCGCGTACATAGACAGCAGTGCACGTCCCGCTCATACTCTCCATCCAACTCAGCGTCTCGTTGAGTAAGTTCGTCCCTACGTTAAAGTCGCTCTTCCTTGCGCTACCCACTGCGTCTTCTTTTTGGCGTGTAAGTATACTTGCTTCTCTTTGCTCGTTCGATAGGTACTCTTTTCAAAGCTTCTCCTTGCATCTCTACTTGATACGTATACATTACAGCTCCTCCAGGACTGTGTTTACTACTTCTCCCACGTGTTTGCCGACTTTATGCAGATGCTGCCAAATAAATACCTTGGAACTGTAGTACATTTTTATTTTCTGAAAAATTACATTTCTACTTACAATAACTAGATTTTTAGTTCAATTAAGTCTATAACGATGTGCTCGCAATCGATGTATTGTCAAATAAAACAAGTACATCCGAGAACCGCCTAAGGTTCAACAGTACATCGTATATAAGCAAGTTGTTCTCGTCTCGTGCGATAATTATTGAATTCCACCTCGAGCACGTGCTCGAACGTGATGATGAGCGCACACTCGTATCTTCCCGATGGATTTCTCGCAAGCTTTGAGTGTGTCGGAGTGTGTCGACCACTCGAATCCCTCTTCCTTCGGGGTTTTTTTTTCCCTCCAAGCTTTCGACGTACATCAGCTTTCCACCAAAGATCGTCAAACCTCCTTTTTTTTTATTGCAAGCCCCTCGTGCAAAGCTTCGAAACAGAGGGGAAGTGGATCCATGCAATCGCGTTCACAGCTTAATCAAGATGATTTCATGTTATGTCAGTGGATGCGTTTGTGGGCTTAGAGTGTTTTTATTAAAATTAGTAATTTCATTGGAAAAATAATTAACATTTCCAGGTAAACGTATAAGATTGAGGTGTTGATAATTCGCGTGAAGCGTCAAAGTGTCTTTGTGAAGCGACGTAAGAAAAACAAGATTTTTATATTACGTTTTCCATAACGGAGATGAGATGAGAAGTAAGTAAGTAAGTAAAAATGAAGTTCACGAAGGAGGACTTGACATTTTTTTTTTTTTTTTTTTTCCTCAGCGCAATGTCTTCCGACTGACTTTCATAAGCTTGTCGCAACGAGTGGATGTCTGGGCGAGTCCCCGCGCCCGAGCTCAGCTTGTCGCGCAAATTGTCCCGGGAAATCAGGTTTTCCTTCAATTTTAAATAATAACGGGGGCAGAGAGGGACGCGCCCGAGCACTCGCTGCAACCTTTCTCGGGACCTGCTTCTCGTTATTTTTCTTCAAACTTTCAGCCATTTCAGTCTCGGTGTTTTCAAAATACAAGATTTTTCAATTTGATGTTTTTTTTTTTTTTTTTTTTTAGAGTCCTTCAAAACAACTTACATTTGTCACAAGTGTGGGAAAGCGTATGCTCATCAGAGTTTTTTTTTTTTTTTTTTTTTTCACATAGGTGTTGAAGGTAATTAGATTAAAAAATAAACTTATTAAAATCATCATAGTATCATCAAGGAAAACGTTTCAGGTGTATATTATTTTGAATTTCTTCTCCTAAAGACACTTTGAGTCAATCACAACTAAAGTGCCGGATGCAAACTTGTAAAAAACATGTTTTGTGGTGTAAGGGACAAGGATTAGGATCAGGAGGACACTTATTTTTTCGTTAAATATCTTTTCAACAAATTTATGTAGCACAATAATTAATTGCGTCTCTCTGTACCACATCACGTAGAGTGAAAAAAAATTCCCTTTTAAATACCTACTGCGAAACGTGTCGATTAAAACTTTTAAACGAAAAATTCCTATGAAACGTTCCCAAGTTTACCCCTATATCCTGCCGTAATTTCGCAAAACAGAAGGGAAAGTCGCATTAGCAGAGCAGCTTTCAAACGAGTTCCCGCGAATCCCACGCGTATTACAACGACAAACACACCCCGTCAGCCGTAAATTCCTCGAAACACATCCGCAAACTCGAAATGACACACAGAGCGGTTATTACTCCGCTCGTCCCTTACCACTGAATAGCCGGCATTGGTTGCGAGCAAGAATTTCTTTAGCGCAACGTTCCGCAAACGCGCTTGAACCGAAAGCCCCGGATCAAGTATAAAAAGAGGCACCTATCCACACTATGCAGCTACGCCCGTTGGCAATTTCACTTTAGCGAGAGCTCGGCCGTACCGGAAGCCACAGCGAATGATCGCCAATATTCGTCATTACAGGGAAATTTTGCGGAATTCCTGTAAAAGGGACCAACGACCCTCGAGCCTTTTTCCTCTCCCTCTGCACTCCACCCCTTCCAATTGGACTTGCTGGAGAGTGCACACCATCCTGGGTCTCTCTTCTTTGGAAAAGCGCAGCAACAACGAGCCAAGCCTCTCCCCCACGACAAACATGCATTATCCATATTTATCCGTCCACCGGCCCGAGTTCCCCAGGGGGCGCACGCTCGACCACCAATAAACGTCACCAATGTCTCGTCCACCCCCGCCCC